TGAAAGAACGAAAGAGCCGGGCGATGGAGAAACGACAAAGAATTGAGGTAAACAACTTTTGATTAGATTTCAAAGCGCACGGAGCACAGCAGATAACGCAGATAACGGAATTGCAGTTTTATTAAGTTTTATTGCTTATAGAGGTGGGCACCGTTAGATTATGTGTCTTTACGATCATAAACAATGTGTTGGATGTGGAGCTAGGATAAGTAATAAGGGAACTAGGAGTGATTTTCTGTGCAGTAATAGGTTAGCATTTTTCGCTCGGGGCTAATTCACTGTTAGCATTGTAGTTTGTCTGCAGCTCATTCATCGCTCCTCCACTCATAACGGAAAAGTGTGAACAATATGCATTATGATAGGGATTAAATCCACCATTATTCCTCCTGCCACAATTAAAAATGCCCCCCCGTGCAATTAAAAGTGACTGTGAGCACTTAGAAAACCCAACATTCTTCTAACCACTTCATTAGGCCATTGCATCAAAAAAGCCCTCCGCTATGCTTTCATTTCTTTCAGCCGAGTGGGTGCTTATAGAGGTGGGCTAAACCTCTCTAAAAAGGTCAAACGTCACTTGTTTTGCATCAATCTTGATACAGGGTACTTATTATATGTTATAGTTTGGATTCCTAAAGCTTTTAGTCTATAGTCTACTCAGAATCAGACATGATAGACGAAACTAGTTGTACTATCGGCGGAAGCCGCTGTGATTGATAAGCCAGGTGGAAATATGTTTGGCACATCTTACGTCACGCGCCGCCATCTTGCGGAGGAGCGGCGGAGAAAATAAATCGTCGGACTTGGTGTTGGGGGTTGAACAAAATTAATATTGCGCATTGCCAGACTCATATTATCTCCGATTTTAATACTGCAATATCTTAGATAGTGTTGTAGCTATATGATTTCGATTGTACTGGCAATTATACAAAAAGCTTTGCATTTGATCTTTAAACAACAAATGAAGAACAAGAAGAAACAACAACAAAACGAACAAAATACAAGAAGAAGAAAAGTTAGTTTTGCGAGTTCAGATAACACACGGGAGCTAGAACCCACCTGCTTCTTTTAAATCAGCTGTGTGGGAACATTTCGGGTTCCCTGTGGAATACAATAACGATGGAGTGCGAGTGGTAGATCGGACGAGGACGGTATGTCGGCGTTGTTCGATAGTGGTGCGGTATGCTAATGGCCACACACGCCAAACATGCTAAATCATATCAGAAGGCATCAGCCAGATTTGCCAATCACCGGAGCCCGGCAAAAGACAACAGCAGTTCAACAGCTGATCCCCGCTGTTTTTAAGAAGACAATAGACATGAAAGCCAAGAGACCAAAATAAATAACGGAAGCTTTTGGCATATGTTTTTCAACCACTTTGCGCTCTTGAAACAATTTCTTATTATTTATTTTGTAATATTTTCAAGACATTCTTTTTAGTTTTACAGCTTGATGAAACCTTTTTGTTTGCCATTATAAATAATATGCCATTATAGATAATATGGCCATCTGAGTGTGTGTGGTACTGTTTGTGGTTTGTTTTTATCTGTGTAATACAGTTAATTATTCAAAATGTTAGAGTTCCTTATTTTTATACTGAAACTTGCACTACTGTTCAAAATAAATAAAAAATAAACCTGGAATTATGCATTTGGGACTTTTTTTTGCTTTTTCTTGTTGTACCGAACCCGTACCGAACCGTGACCCCCAAACCGAGGTACGAACCGAACCGTGACTTCTGTGAACCGTTACACCCCTAGTGTGAAGACATGAATGTGGACGCAGTCCTTGTGGAAAAGCGGCTGAAGTCAACAAAGAGGCACTTTTCATATGAGTCTCCTGATGAGCCATTGAGGGATGCCTTACAAAATCTGGATGGTAACCTTCTTTAACGTGGTGGTGGATGCTGCAGTGTCAGCACAAAAGGAGAGGTTTACCACTCTTAAACATGTGCAAGACAAGTTTGGCATTCTGTACTTCCCAGACCTGCCACACCAATAGCTGATGAAGCAAGCAGAGGCACTTGCACACACCTTAAGCCATGGAGGGAAATCTGATTTGGATGGGAAGGAGCTGGCTCAGGAGTTGGAAAATGTACCTGACTTGCCATCAAAGAGCATGACAACTCTTGAGTTGTTGAAATTCATACACACAAAGCAGCTCACCGAAATATATCCCAACTTGTGTATTGTTCTGCGGATCAGTGCAACGCTACCAGTAACAGTAGCTTCAGCCGAGAGGAGTTTTTCCAAATTAAAACTCTTGAAAACATACCTGAGGTCAACCATGGCTCAAGAACGCCTCAGTGGTCTGGCTGTAATCAGTATTAACCATGAGGTTGGTGGTCAGATTTCATATGATGATGTGATTGATGACTTTGCAGCGAGGAAGGCCAGAAGGATTGCACTGTAAATGGAAACCAGTAGGAGCTAATAGGCTAACCTTGTGTGATGATAGGGAGTGGAATGTAAATAGTTATTGAGACAAAGTGAATTTGTAATTTTTATTTATTTGTTTGTTTATTTAGCATATTATATTTTGATTATTTGACATGTGTAACATATTTTACAATACATAATTTTCTTTTAAAGCAAATTTGCACGTTATTTTATTGTTTGTTATTGTTATTATTATTATTGTTTGTTAGCTAAGTTGTTTGTTTTAATTCTTTAGTGTGCACTTTACATTTCTTCTTAATTTTCTTTGAAAGCAAATTTGCACATTCTTTTATTGTTTGTTATTGTTATTATTATTGTGTGTTAGCTAAGTTGTTTATTTGTTTTAATTATTTAGTGTGCACTTTACATTTATTCTTAGCTCTTGTTCTTGCTTGTAATAAATAAAGGTGCAGTACTTTACTGTATAACTGTTAAGATGTTTTGATATTTTTTTTGGGGGGGGCGCAGTGGTGAAGCTCGCCTAGGGCACCAAATGTGCTAGGTCCGCCCCTGCATACAGTTCCTACCTACATAATAAAATATCTCTCTAAGTTACAAGGATGACCTTATTTTATCAACCTCAAACAGAAGCCGTTTGTTCTACAGTATTATCCCGCTTAACACTTGTCTATTTCGTTGTAACCTTTATACAGTCTATGATTTTAACTTGTAGGCTACGATTAGCATCGTTAGCACCGATGTAGCTACCACTCGCTTACACACTAAACCAAGCCTTAACATTCATTATGTACTGTAGCCGATTAAAATCATTAACACATAAATAAGTACTCGATTTTCACTTACCGCAAAACCGCATGCATGCACCGTCTGTTTTAACCGCAGAGCGAGTCACAATAGTCCGATATATAAGCATGAAGAACAAACAACCACGGCCGGCTTCAAGTTGTGTTCCCTGGATGAGCTGAGCAGGCAGAGTCCCTGTAGCTAGCTTCACGGAGCAGCTAGCAGAGAGACGAGAAGCTAGCAGCAGCAGTCACTTGACAGAGCCGTCACTCAATGTGACCACGCCCTAATCTATGCACAAACTTTAAGACCTAATATAAATAAAAGGGTCGTGTTAGAAAACAATTCACTCACAGATCCATAATCATGAAGGTGGAACCTAACTATATTCATTATAATATGTATTGCATCCATGGGTAGAAACATGTTTTTTTCTGCTGTAAAGTTGGGCATTTTAACATGGGGGTCTATGGAAATTGCTCCTTTCTGCAGCCAGTCCCTATCGGCCAATATATTAACTGCAGTGTGTGGCACTTCCGTATTGGCGTCCTGGCTCTTCCCCAGAGTTTGCCGCTTGGTTTGGAACAGCACTTAATATGGCAGACCCTCCACGTGAACGCGCAAACGGAGGGGTAGGGTGTAGGGGGCGGTTTGGGAATGGGCCTGAGTCACACAAATGATGTCTGTCTGTTTGTCTCATTGACTGTGGTTTGTCTCTGGATCATATGGATCCAGTCCCACAACTCAGTGCTGCACTCTTCTGGATGGTGGAGGTATTCGAATTTGGAAACATTTGTCATAAAATGAGATGATTTGCAAAGCAGCAACACCTGGTGCTGGAATTTTTCTTCATAGATATTTTATTATGGCTGAATAAAATTGGAAGACTGTAAACAAGAAGACTGCTCAAAACAACATGCGTAACAACCACACAAAGGACGCAACATGATGTTCAACATTTCTAAAGTGACTCATAACAAGTTGATAATGTTATGGTTTTTCTCCACATGTATATTGCTTTGCTTTTTTCTTTTAAGGACAAACACAATAAAAAATAAATAAAAACTCAACTTGGAGTTTATTTTGGGCCATGGGTTGTAATCTGTGAATCCACCACATGGGGTCTCTCTAAGGTAAGACAATATCGCCTTAACGTAGGTTTTTTTTTTTGGGGGGGGGGGGGGTTACACCCTTCTCTGAGTTTTACCTTGTATTAATAAAATGTATTTAACCACATATAAATAAGTTTTTCTGTTAAATGATTTAACCATCTTTCATGTCTCGTCTTTGAAAATGCAACCATATGTGACCTCACAGCTAATTAAGAGGAAATGTCTTTTCACCTCATGATGAGAAAATGTGACTGTAATGATGTAACTTATTACTTTTCACACTTCATCTCAACTTTAACAGTCATGCCAGAGTCATGTATTTTGCTTGTAGGCTGCTAAATGGTAGCATCTGTTCATCTGGAAACAAAATGCAAAATGTTAAAGAGTTCAACATGACAATAAGAGGAGAGGTTGGTCTTGAAGCAGACCTTTAAGAATTAATTTGCAGTTTCTGTTTGCAAACTGGGCACACAACACCCTGTAGGCTAAACACATCAAACTATCACTGGAGTACTTTAACACAGCAACACACTTAAAAACGTGACTCCAGAGTTTAAAGAGCGAAATGTTTCGGACATCGGAAAATAGGTGTATGTGTAATATGTGTGTTTAGATTGGAATGAGATAACCCTCCACATCCATGGTTAACCCCCACCCACAATGCTGGCGCAGGGACAGAGAGAGGAAGTGGGTCACTCGCAAACATTTCGCACCAATATCACATGGGAGTGTTTTCCATCTCCTCCGCAGACACAGTGTTCCCTGGATGGCAGTGCTAAACCCGTAGCCTCTGCGGAAATACAAGTCATTGGTAGAATAAACGCCTCTCAGACATCAGTGCAGAGCAGAAGAAAGAAAAAAGGAAGATGGATAGTGTCTTTAGTTTGTGATGACCTTGTTTAATTTCCTGCCACTTCGGCATGGAGACAGCGCTGTCGGTTTTCGCCAAACCTCCTCGCACCGTCTGGTCTGAACCGGTTCGGGATGTGCGCGGTCTCGTGCTCACTGCAGACTCCACGCACGCACTGATTCGCGCAGCAGTCCGCGCCCTCTTCACGCTCCGTGCAGAAACGCTCTCATTGGTCAGGATGTGCACGACCCACCCACATCTCCCGCGTGCTGTTTGGACGACGAGTGAGTTCCCCAGTTGTGATTGGTCGATGCCCCTCCAAAACTTTTATTTTGGGGCAAGCCCCGTTTATTGTGCACGGGCACGCGGAGAAATGGAGTTGTAAACGAAGCTCGTGCACTTTTCAGCACCAAAAACTCGTGGACAGCAGCCAACGGAGGAGAAGGGGGTGACGCTGAGGGTTAGCTTATTGTGATAAACACAAGACCGAGCGGTTTGCGACGCCACACTGCCGCTGCGATCGCGGGAAACCTTCACCGGTGGCACTGAGTCGGGGAGGGACGACACACAGCGGCACAGCCTGTGCTTTGTTCGCCCCGGCGGGCAGATCGTGCCGCGAGCTGGATATCGGTTAGAGACACGTTTCAGCGGGTGAACACACCGTTTTTCTCGGTTCGCTCGTGTCGAATTTTTCGCGGTCTGGAGCCCACTAACTGCACCCCGGGACGACCTAACGCCTGCAGATGAGGGGAAACAAAGGTGATAACGACTGTTATTCATCGGTCCGCGCGACGGTTGAACCGGGGTCCTGTTTTTAGCCACATAGCAACCTGCTCGTGCTGCTAGCCTCTCCATTGTGTGAGCAGCTCTGCCGCCAGACCCCCGAGTCACTCTCTGCCGCCACACACCTGCTATAACTGTGTGTTCTCCGCCGGATTTTTTTAACTTTTTTGAATCCACCCATCCAAAATGTGCTCTCGGATTTGGTTCGTGACCGACCGGCGGATCAGCCAGGAGTACCCGCAGGTCCAGATCCTCCGGGCGCTGAAGGAGCGCTGCTCCGACGAGGATGTTGAATTCCGCTCGCTGCTCATGGATCAAATCGTGCTAACGATCAGCGATGGACAATTAGGCAAGTATCTCACACTTACTCAAAGCAGTGGATGTGTTGTGCACATGAGTGGTGCAGTGTAATTAATTCAGATGTACACAAAGTCAGTGGCATGGGGGTATTGTTTGGGTAGCTCGCTGCTGTGAGGCGGGGAGAGGGCTAGCCCAGTCTGCCTGCTAGCAAGGAAGCGGATGGTAACCACAGACGTGACCGCCTAACCCACTTTCCAGCTAGACTGCCTCCAGAGGGGAGCGACGATGCTTGATTTCATTTCGCTGAATACGGTACAATCCCAACAATGCCGTCGATTATTTACTTAAGCATCAACGCACTGGGGATATTCAAATTACAGAAGCATAGTAGCTGAAACAATACGATGAGTATTTTACGTGTTAAAGTGGGGTTTTCATGTGGTAACCTGGCGCCAGGCCGAAGAAGCCACACATGTTTCACATAACGTTAGAGAAAAGGCCGCCAGTAGACCAGTCTGGTGATTACTTTAATGTTCTCTTCCTTGATTAAAGGTTATGAATAATATTACACCAGATGTAACCAGTACCAAAGAGGCTATTTTAGAATGTATTCTTATATGAAACAAAAGCCCACCTAAAACGTATTCACAATAAACAAATGAAACAAGTAAGCACATATTGCATCTGTAGAGCCATCATCTGTACCTGTGTATTGCTATTTATTGATTACTTACTTGTTTTGATCTGATTTGTATTGTTATTTGTAGCAACGAGATGTAGACTAACAATCAACAACACAGGACTGAATACAACAAAACACTGTATGAATGCTAGAGTATAAGGCCTAGTAGGAATACTATGACAGATCCACAGAAAGCACATTTGTGTATAAAGACAAATTAACTTCAGCTAATTCTTTCATATTTTCTGTTTTTGTTTGACTTTATCTATGCTACTAACATCGTGATGTAATTTGTGTTGTCATTTTGGCATTGCTATGTCCAGAAGACATAATGTGTGTTCTGCTTATTATGAGATGACAATGTTTCCCAGTATGGACTCAGGGGGGCTTGATAATGTGGTGGTAACAGTAGGAACTCTCAACAAACAGACACACATTGAATGTATCAGGGCGGTGTGAAGTGGGGCCGGTGTCACCAGATGAGAGGCGTGCAGGTCGCAATTAACACATAAACGGTGTAGGCTGCCCCTGGCAGAGGCTGAATAGTTGGGAGAGTATGTTACATTACATTTAGCTGACGCTTTTATCCAAAGCGACTTACAATAAGTGCATTCGACCAGGAAGACACAACCTTGAAGAAAACAGAATCATATAAGTACATCAGGCTTCATAGAGCTAAAACATTTCAAGTGCTACTCAACTGGCTTTAGATAAGCCAGTCCTTTATTAGTATATAAGTGCTTTGTTAGCAGTTCTTTGTTAGTAATTCTATCGCTCGAAGTGGAGTCAAAAGAGATGAGTTTTCAGTCTGCGCAAGCAGATGTGCAAGCTATATGCTGTCCTGATTTCAATGGGGGATGGATAGGGGTGAGATTGAGCAGCACGTCCCTCACAGACTGTTACATCAGGTCAGCTGTACAGACCAGTCATGGCAGAGCTTTGAACTCAATATGGGTTTAACTGAAATGCCAACAATGGAGTATTTAAGGTGTTTTAACAAACTGCTTGTCTGTCACATACACTAGTAAGGCCAAAGGACTATTTATGAACATAAACAAATCCTAGAAGTGCTATTTGTGTCATTCATACAACATATCTACCAAATGATAATTCAATGCAGTTGTTGCTACCATGGCTAGATAATCTTATTTTAAGACGAAGCTACTCTGTAATCAAAAATGCTAAACATTTTCTAGGAAATATACTGAAATTAGACAATATTAGCCAACACAGACAGATAGGAAGCGGCTGTCTAGATCTTTAGTTTAGCATGCAAGTCTAGAAGGGCATTTAGCAGGGTCTGTAATCCATGCTGGACCCTAGTCTGCATGCATCTTCTGAGCCTTGGCTTGACACCACAGATTACCAGCCAGTAGGCAGATTAGACACGCTGTAGGCCTGCATCACAGGGAGCCGTAGACTACAGACTGGCTGGGCTCTAGGGCTGCACCAAACGACTCATTTGATAATCGATTAATCTATCGATTAATGAAACGATTAATCGACTATTCAGACTATTACTGTATGCCTTGCACAATTTCTCAAACGCTCTTATTTAGCCATCAACTTTTAGATTTAGCTTGAGGTTGTTTTAGGCATGTGGAAACTAACAATGAAGACAATAAAGATGAATACTTAATATTAATAATATTTCACATCAAAATAAACAACACTGTTTTAACAAATCGTATTAAATAATCTGATGACAGACTGTAAACAGAATAGCTGAAACTTTAACAAACTAAATAACTCAGTTTCCTCTAATCATTAACCCGTGTTTGTATCATTGAGTTAACTCCGTGTGTTGCTGCTAGCATACATAACACCTGACGTGGAAACGTTACTCGTGGATGGGGCTACAGAGCTGCTAGAAAGACGGTCGAACCCGGTACATTCCTCCGTCTGAATGTGGAGCACTTTTGCTAAATGTTTAGACACATTGCTCGTGTTCCCGCCCTCACATGCTAAACTCTTATTGCACTTTTGGCAACGAGCATTGTCCACATCGAGACGGGTAAAGTTGAACCACACCTCGGAGCGCGTTCTCTCCGCCATCCCCACCGTGTGTTGCTGCATGTAGCAGCCGCGTGTGTGTAAACTGCCCCGCCCCCTCGCACACAGACGGGGGAGAGAGATCGCGTCTGGATTGGAAAGATCCAAAATACATCATAGACACATTTGTTTGTCTTTTTGCATGTTAGAAACGAGTTGGTGACACTAAGACTGCGATATAATGCTTATGTAGCAATGTAGTTATCGGTACTGGAGACATTTAAAAAAGACATGTCATATGGGTTATATGACATGTCTTTTTTAAATGTCTCCAGTACCGATAAAAAGACCAATAACCTTGGAGCTTGTAAAATACACGTGATGACGTCACCAACGAATCGACGACTGAATTAGTTGGCAACTAATTTGGTCATCGATTAAGTCGATTAGTTGTTGCACCTCTACTGGGCTCATGTGCATACTTGCCCTGAACATCTAGCATTACATTCAGCTTTTTGTATTACCCACTCTACATCTACAATACAGCAACGTTAGAGTTGGAGGGCAACATCCAAACAGGAATTGGCCAACTAACTGCAACGTCTTGATCTAGATAAAGATGGCAACCTTTGTTAAATGCATATTCTTCCAGGCTTTTACATCTCAATGTGGATTCACATACATACAGTATAAGATTAGTGTTTCTACAACGTTTCTACACTAGAAACATAAGTGATTGTGATTGGAAAAAGCACTTAAGGTAAATCACCAACTCTTTGCAGTGCATGACATTAAGGATTTTGGGAGATGGCCCTATGGGCCATCTAAGCTAATTTACAGATGGCCCTGAGCCCAATAGAGATTGCCCTGAAAAATGCGCGCGGACGAAATGACGCACGAAGGGTTTGGGGGGCCTCCCCCTAGAACATTTAGATTTGTGCAGGTCTTAGATGCTGTCTGGTGCATTCTCTAGACTGAATTATAAGATGAACCACCACAATATTATATTGTACAATTTCAATTGTATTCTTCATTTCACTTGTTTGTTCTTGTTTGTGTTTGCTCGCTTGCATGCCCTGCATAGCTATAAGAAATACTTAAGTTGTTGGTCAAGACACTTTCCATCTGATGAAGGCAAATGCCTTCCCAGATGTAAAAAAGTAGAAAACATTACATTCAGTTATAACTACCAAAACAAACATTATTTACACTATTATGGCCCCTGTTAAAAATGTTTGTAATGTTATCTACTGTAAGTTGGTCGAACGAATGCCTCCTCATCCGGAAGCTGACCGAGCAGCAGTCGAGAGGAGCCGAGCGCATCCGCGAAGCACACAAAATGGCGACGTCAGAGTTCCCGTTAGCCGGCAAATCTAAATCTCTTCGGTCAAAATGTCCGGTCAAAATAATTTCCCTTTAGCACAATACCGCTTCAGTTGCGCCACTTATGTGACAGACAAGAAGAGTATGTGACAGACATGAATAGTCAATTCTAATGTCTAACACTTAATGTGGAGAAAGATGTCCTGTGTGGGTTGATTGTGCGTTGATCTGTTGGTAATGCCTCGGGGTTCCGGTGGGCATGTAAACAAATGCATAATGCTGCGCTATACTTTGTGGCCTCACCAAGTTGCATAGCGACACTTATTGTTTAGGTGTCTTTTAATAAGCAGGTAGTCATATCATTAGCTAGAACTAGCTGGATCTGATCGATATGGACATAAACGCGAGTGAAGTCTAATCTGACGGGAGAGAGAGATCAGCTGCTGCTGACGAGTCGACACGCAGCTCTGCATGATCACATGCAGCGGTGAGCGGACAAAACACACACTTCAGGTTAGAATATCACACATAGCTATTTTAATTACCTCTCAAACTACCTGAACTAGTTATAGATATGTTTAGTTTTACTGTCGGGTCACTCATTACTGGATCCGCAAGCTGCATGATACTGGCATAATAGATTGCCCGATCGGGCAACCAGCAGGTGAGGCTTCATTGCCCGAGCTAAATACTAGATGGCCCCGGGCCATCGGGCAGTCCTTAATGTCGAGCCCTGCTTTGGTAATAGTTATTTACCAACACGGTTCTTTGTCTTTAGTGCATTTATATTTGAATAAAACTATGCATTTGACTCAAGAAATATGTATCAATACAGGGCACTTCACGCTTAAGAATGATATGCTTCCATAACTGGTTCAAAGATGCCTTTAGACTGTCACAATCTTAAGGAGAACCCAAATGCAGCACTCGAGAAACCAAGGAGAATTGGTAATACACTTTATTGGAGATTCCACTGGATCTGAGGAATTCCAACCGAGCAGTTTAACGCACCGGAGGACAGCGGGCAGAAGGTGAGTCAGGGACAGGCAGAG